GGCGTCTGTCAGATTTGGGGTGTGTGAGAGACTGGGTGCATGAGAGAGACTACGTGTCTCTGACCGTGTGTGTATACGACTGTGTGTGTGTGTGTGTGTGTGTGTTTGTGTCATGTTGGGAGTGTGAGATAGTGGGTGCGTGTGTTTGTGAGACTGGGTGCGTGTGTGTGTCATTCTGGGTGTGTGGGAGAATGTGTGTGTGTGTGTGTGTGTGTGTGAGACTGGGTGTGTGTGTCTCCGTGTGAAACGTAGGACCAGCATTTGTTACCCACCTCTATCTGCCCTTGAACTGCTTGGGCCATTTCAGAGGGTGGTTAGGAATCATTGCTGTGGTTCTGGAGTCACGTGTTGACCAGAGCAGGTAAGATCGGCGGGTTTCCTTCCCGAAAGGACATTAATAAACCAGATCGGTTTTGACAATTGAGAGCAGTTACCTAGTCCCCATTCAGAGCCATGTCCCCAGAATATTGATGTCTCTGGATTACTAGTGCAGTGACATTACCACTCCACCAATTAGTGTGTGTGTGTGAGAGAGAGAGGAATGTGTTCGTGTGTGTGTGTGAGAGAGAGATTGAGAGAGAGAGAGAGGGGCATGTGTGTGAGAGTGTGGGGAATGTGTGTGTGTGTGAGAGAGAGGGGCATGTGTGTGTGAGAGAGAGGGGCATGTGTGTGTGAGAGAGTGGGGAATGTATATGTGTGAGAGAGGGGAATGTGTGTGTGAGAGAGAGGGGAATGTGTGTGTGTGTGAGAGAGAGAGGGGCATGTGTGTGTGAGAGAGAGGGGAATGTGTGTGTGTGTGAGGGAGAGGGGCATGTGTGTGTGAGAGAGTGGGGAATGTGTGTGTGTGAGAGAGGGGCACGTGTGTGTGTGTGTGTGAGAGAGAGAGAGGGGCGTGTGTGTGAGAGAGGGGAATGTGTGTGTGTGAGAGAGAGAGTGGGGAATGTGTGTGTGAGAGAGAGAGGGGCATGTGTGTGAGAGAGTGGGGAATGTGAATGAGTGTGAGAGAGAGGGGAATGTGTATGTGTGAGAGAGAGAGGGGAATGTGTATGAGTGTGTGTGGGTACGATTGTTTGTGTCAGTGTGTGTGTGGGGGTGTGTGTTTGGAGTTGGGATTTGGGGGAGGGAGTTTGGGATTGTGCGTGGGGGTATTTGAGACTGTGTGTATGAGGGGGGTGTGTTTGGAGTTGGAGATTGAGGGGGATACTTGAGGCTGTGTGTGCGGGGGCGGGTGGGGGGGTGTTTTCTGTTGTGTGTCTGTGTGCGTGTATGGGTGTGTATGGTGGGACTGTGTGTTTGGAGGGTTGATGTGTGTTTGGAGGGGTGGGGGTGGGGTTGATGGGGTGTGTGGGGCTGTGTGTGTTTGGGAGTGGAGGGGGGGGGTTTGGGGACTGTGTCTGTATGTGTTTGTGTTTGGGGTGGAGGGAGGGGTGTGGACAGCTGCGTTCCTTTGAAGGCGCAGGTTCAAAATGTGGCGCAGTTCTCCGTTTCAGTGTATGAGAGCGAGCAGCTCTTCACCATCAGTTTTGTGTGTGTGTGCGTGTGTCTCTCAGACTGTGAGATCCCATTCCCTCTCACCCCCTCCCTGACTTCAGGGAGTGGTCTGCTGACCCCAGACCAGCATCCTCACGGAATCCGCCCCACCCCCCACTCTGCCTGAGCTCTGGGGCTGTGCTGAAGCTGTTCCTGATGCAATGCAGATGCTGAAGCGGAGACAGGGAAGGGAACATACAGTCTCATTGCACTCAGGCAGAACTCACCCGGGACGCATCCAAACAGCTCACTGAAACCACCGACTGTTCTCAGAGGGAATATTCATCCTACCCCCTCCCCCACACACAATACCCCCACCGCCTTCTGTGTGACTTGTTTATTTGAAAGCTGCAAGAGGGATTGAGGGGGTTTGAGGCTGCTCCAGTGACCAGTTCCATGCTGACCCCTTTCAGTTTTGTGCCCGTGGCTTTCCAGCATTTTGCTGAATCACCTCTCACTCCTGCTGGGACCAAGTTATTTTCTCTCTTCAAAAGAATTAACACCAAAACAGAGAAACGAAGGGAGAAAAAGGAAACACATACAAGATCATCACAGGGTCACTTTCTGTGTCGTTATAAATCTGTGCGCGATTCTCTCAGTCACATTCCAGTGACAGCAGAGACGTATTCCGATTCCAATATTCCTTCCTCTTTCTGTTTCTTTTCCCATTTTCTCTCTGAACCAGATTCCGCCTGTTCCTGGACGAAGGTCAAAGATACATAAAGATGTACAACACAGAAACAGACCTTCGGTCCAAATTGTCCACGCCGACCAGATATCCTAAATTAATCTGCTCCCATTTACCAGCTTTTGGCCCATATCCCACGAAACTCTTCTTTTTCATGTCCCCATCCTTTTAAATGTTGCAACTGTACCAGCCTCTACCACTTCCTCTGGCAGCTCATTCCAGACACACACCACCGTCTGTGTGACTCTCGGCTCCATTTTAAATCTTTCCCCTCTCACCTTAAACCTATGCCCCTCTACTTGTTTCCCCCCACCCCTGGGAAAAGATCTTGTCTATTCACCCTATCCATGCCCCTTATGATTTTATAAACCTTTATAAGGTCACCCCTCAACCTCCGATGCTCCTATTCAGCCTCTCCCTGTAACTCAAACCCTCCGATCCTGGCAACATCCTTGGAAATCATTTCTGATCCTTTTCAAGTTCAACAACATCTTTCCCTTAGCAGAGAGTCTTTGAGGGTAGACCGGGGCAGGCCGGTGTTAGATTGAGCACGGAGTGTCACCTCAGCCATTGTGAAGGTCAGAATGGAAACCGTGAACTCTTGTCTCCAAAACCTGCCTTTGGGAGGTCTGGTTACAAGGAAAGGGTTTTGACCCATCTTTGCAACCTCTGATGCATCCTCGCTGACCATATCTCGGTGCAAGAGATAGTAGGAACTGCAGATGCTGGAGAGGTGCAGACGTTTCAAAGTTTCCGAAAGCCCCCAGTACTGAACTGTCCCATTATCACACACCCAGGCGGGGATTATGTTCCAAACCAGGAAACTGTGGATTTCGTGAGGGCTGATGCCTTGTCTCTCGGCCTCCACTGGCAGGAGCTGTTGGTCTCGATTAGACCTGCCTGACGCGGTTCGGGAACCAGGAATAGACTAGTCCTGCGTCTGGTCAGCTCCTCTCACTTGGGCAGGAGCGCAGGGCAATGGGTACATTGGCTGGTTTCCGTGTCAGCCGGGCCAGGCTGAACTGTGGCGTATTTGGAGGAAGAGCAGAGGACTGCTCTCTCTGCAGTGTCCCACACAAAATCATGAAAAGAGGCTAGCTGGCCATTTATGCCATTGCTGCTGATGGGATCTTGCGGTGCACGCATTATTGTCCGCCGCGTTTTCCATCACTGCCTCCACTAACAAACACAGCTTTGGTACCAGACACATTTGCTGAAAGGCACTCCAGTTAAAAAAAAAACCGAAAGAACTGCGGATGCTGTAAATCAGGAACAAAAACAGAAATTGCTGGAAAAGCTCAGCAGGTCTGGCAGCATCTGTGAAGAGAAAGAAAAAATCAGAGTCAACTTTTCGGGTCAGGTTCTGAGGAAGGGTCACCGGAGCCGAAACGTTAACTCTGATTTTTTTCTTCACTGGGAGGTTCGATCCCACTTGCAGAGGCGAAAGCGATGGCGCCGATTTGTAGATGCCATTAGGTCTGAGCTCACAGACTTCATGTCTGCTCTGAGTCCCCAAGTCGGTCTACAGTGGGATCAAAGTCTGACACAGTGAACATTTTCTTTCTCACAGAGATCGGAAATCCTATCTGTCTGAACAGCAACAAAACCTGCATGAGAAATGAAACTTCATGTCTATGGTACCATTTTGTTAAGTCTGTTTTTAGGCTTTGAGCTATAATTCCTGTTCAAGAGGTGAGGCCATATTCAGAGCAGATGCCTTTAAACAACTGAAACACCTTCAGTTGGAGCAGATGCCGATGCGAACTCATTTATGATTCACATCTTTTTACAAACTGTTTGGACAAGCTGTTTGGACATTGCGCAAGCTGATAAGCTATTGTAACTGCTGAAGCTTTGAAATGGCAAGAGCATATAGTTCTGTGATTCTAGCTGACTGCAGAATCTTGACAATCTGTTCAATACATGAAAGACTAAAATTATAGAACTCATCGCCTGGTACAAAAGGCTCTGCGTTTATTTATCATGACCTCAGGACACCCAG